AATCAGTAAGCCGAGCGCCGTGTAATGACGCCGCGTCATTACACAGCGCTCGGCTTACTGATTGGCCAGAAAGCCAGGTCTATGCTTTCTCATCACCTAGTGACTCGCTGCCAGGCTTCCTGATTGGTCGGGAAGCTAGCCAATCGGGAAGCCGAGTGCTGCGTCATTACACGGCGCCTGGCTTCCTGGTTGCCCAGAAAGCCGGCTCCATGTTTTCTCGTCACCTAGGAACAAGAAGCATGGGGACGGCTTCCCTGCTAACCAGGAAGCCAAGTGGCGAGTCTTTAAAGGCCGCCTGGCTTCCTTAATATCGGTATTCGGTGTCGGCGAGTACCGAAAAAAAAAATATATGGGTACTTGTACCGAAATACCAGTATTGGTGCATCCCTAGGTAGCATCAATGTCACCAGGAAGTGATGCTAGCACTGCAAACCAGACACTCCTACTCCACAGAACAGAATAAAGACCTGGGGTGTCACTTCACCAGAGTTTTAGGTAAGTAATTGGAGCTTTAAAGTAGTTACTTTTTAACTAAAATCTATAGATTAGGTAACAGGAGGTGTGAAGTGGGAAATATTTTTTTTTAACTTAGATAAGCTTCAAAGAGGTCTTCTTGAAAAGCGACTGATCAGTAGTTGGTGGCCATATATACAGGCGCACTTACCTCTGTGGCCCGTGAGCTTAGTCCTCTAAGAAGTAGCACCACCACATGAATAGCAGCCCTGCGCACCTCAGCCTCTGGATCAGTACGTACCAGCGCTGATAAACAGGAGCTCACCTGAAATAAAGAAAACCAAGTTCTCAGCATCTGTGACCTGAACGCAGCCATTCTGTGAGGGCATCAGATGATTACAGAAGACCGATTAGGTTAGAAAAGAAAGATTTACCTCATAGACAACGGAGCCCAGAGAAAACTGGAGCTGCTTGCACAGCTCACCCAGATTAGAAAGGCTGCTGGCCCTCAGGGAACTGTCTGAATCCCGGGATCCCCTCAGGAAAGCATGAAATAAGGCATCCTTGTGGGGGATGATCATGTCTCCTGCAGACAAATAGAATTATTTTGTTATATATAAAAAAAGGGCATATGCATCAAGGGATTTGAAGTTTTGCAAAAGCTGGAGGGCCAAAGTTTAGCTACCCCTTTGCTATGCTATAGATAACATCTAGAAATGATAATTGTGCCTAAGCAGTGCCCTGAGAAACATACCTCTGTTCTGAATCCCTCCTGAAAAATAGCAGTGCTCTACCTGGTATATGAGGGTGCCTGCACACTCCTTTGCCTGGTGTCATAGATGTATGTGTTCAGTGTGAGATCTCAGTCACTGCTGCCTCTGACTGCCAGTCTCCGGAGATCTGGAGTGAGATTTGGTGATGTCACTAGTGTGCTGCTCACTGTTCTCCTTGCTGGAGGCTCTGACATCAAAACCCTGCCTCTACTAAGATGGCCACACAGAGACACAATGCAGAACAAGGCATGGTAAGTCAGTTATAGGGAAAATATCAGCTGCAGGGAGACCACAGGTGACTAGTCCTTTGCCCTCTACCTAGCTTTTCGGGGGCAGCTTCCAGAACTCAGTTTATTAGGCTAAATGCATGAAAAACAGAACAGAACCCATGTCTCTCTGCACACAAAGAGGTTTAACCGCCAGGCGATGACCATCACAGTCCAATTTTCTCTCTCTTTTTAAGTGGAGCTTTGTTATAGCATGTCAGTCTGTAGCCTGTGGACCTGCCAGAACCAGCCACACACCTCGCTGAGTAACGAAGAGTCACCATAAGAATCTATTATTCTGACACCCAGGATGTTACTCCCACCACCATCAAAGCCTCATCTTCACCCACATATCCTCCAGCAATTGTCTTCTACTTGCTAATTCACATTCTAATGTGCAAACATGACGGAGAAATTGTCCAAGTATCCGGGATGACTTAACAAAAGATAATATAATAATAAAATCAAGAAGACAGAAATATGAACCATATTTGTCTTTGTGTTGTGTGTAGTGAGGTCTGTTGTGATGAATTGGCAACTTATTCTTTTTTTTTTTTTTAAATAGGACTGCATCACAGCAATGAGCATTGACTCACTGCACAAATATGGCCTTAAGGCCTCAGGGCCCTGTCACACCATGTGCGGACCAGATCTGCATGCGTTTCTGCAAACGCGCTGCGTTTGTGACGCGTTTTAGGGCCATTAATCACTGATAACACTAAACTAGGGCTGCAACAACTAATCGACATAATCGATTATAATCGATTATTGAAAAAGTTGTCAACTTTTTTAATCATCGATTAATCGGCTTCTGATTGGTTGGCCCTCTTTACGGCTCCACACACGCTGCGCGCCGCACCTGCTCCCCACCTCACGTTCGCCACTGCCAGACCCGCCCGCATCCACGCTCCACACGCCGTATCTCCTCCCCGCCTCACGTTCACCGCCCACATCCACGATCGCACAGGGACGTGGGGAGAAGTAGTAAGGAGGAGCAGGTGTGGGGGGATGACAGCCGCCGATAGACAGGTAAGCCTACACTTTCCCACACGTGGTGCTCCATAATGTATTGCTGGGATTTGTATTCCTCTATAGATGATGGTACATTGTGCTGTATATTATACATATGAATACAAATCCCAGCAATACATTATACACTGTATGTATAGTGTACTATTGCTGGGATTTGTTGTACTCTATAGCTGGTGGTATTCTGCATTGCGCTGTATAGAGGACTACAAATCCCAGCAATAATGCATTATAGAGCGCAATGCAGAATACCACCAGCTATAGAGGAGTACAACAAATCCCAGCAATAGTACATTATACAGTGGTGCAATGCCGAATAGCACTAGCTATAGAGGACTACAAAACCCAGCAATAGTACATTATACAGCGCAATGCAGAATACCCCCAGCTATAATGTACTATTGCTGGGATTTGTTGTATGCCTCTATAGCTGGTGGTATTCTGCATTGTGCTGTATAATGTATTGCTGGGTTTTGTAGTCCTCTACAGCCGGTGCCATTCTGCATTCATTGCTGTATAATTTTACACTTTTTATTTCACTATATTGCACACCACACTTTTGTTTTCTTTTTTACTTCCACCGTTCCAAGCTTGCTCCTGTGATGGAGTACACTGAATACAAACTAGTAGTCCCATCACTGGAGCCATTTTTTTAAATGTATTTTATTTTGTATCCGATTAACCGATTAATCGAACTTAATAATCGGCTAACTAATCGATTTTGAAAATAATTGTTAGCTGCAGCTCTACACTAAACTGATGAGGAGTAAAAGCATTTAAAGCATCGCCTATGGCCAATTTTTGGTGTGGTCAATTTTTGGCAATTTTGCGGGCACGCGCAGTTTTAAAGCTTGACATGTTTGGTGTCTATTTACCCGACAAGGCCCTGTCATTTATATTTTACCAAAAATATAAGGTAATAATAAATGCTTTATAACATAATGTAGGGAAAACCCCCCAGTGGTCATTATATAACACCAAAAGAAAGCTCCATCTGTCCCCCAAAAAATGTTAACATAAATTGCAAGGCTATAGTCCGGTCATGTTGACTGATGACATTTTTGACTGACAGGTAAACCAGCCTAAAATTTCTCAAGCCTTGTGTATTTGTATAATAACAATATGCTACTGGTGTAAATGTTACTAGGGAGAAAAAATGCACAATTATGTTTTTATTTTTTACTCCATTTGCTTCCTCAATATCTCAGAAAAAATAGAGACAGACGTTTCTTTTATTACAGAAAGCATCAGAAAAAATGTCTATTTCAGGTGATGACAAAACATAAAAAGGTTATTAATGGTTAAACGGATGCAGCACTAAAAAGCCAAATGTGCTCAGGTAGTTAAGTGATTAAAAGACAAAAGATTTCCTTTCAGACTGACTTTTCCTCTATTAGTGGATGTGGAACACACAGGATGAAACACGCAGGGAAGCCCTGTAAATCCTGGGAGAGGCGGACACCATGACACCTGGGAAATGCTGAGTTTACATTCAGATCTGAACAAGACACCGGGTCATGTGACATCCGAGACAAGGGCAAAATATCCCCGTCTGCAGCTTATTGACTCAGTTTCTTATAGTGATACATATAGCAGAGAGTGAATTATAATTCCGGAAGGATCTGTTAAAGAAAACAATATTTTTCAGATGTTTTGTGTGTATGGTTTGTAGTCGGCTGAATGTGAATGTTTTACCAGCTAGTGTTAAAATGTTAATGACCTTGTGTTTGTGTATGCCAGTGATGTGCAAAGGCTTGGTGTGAGCCCACCCAATCCCATGCAAAACTGTGACTGACTCCCCCCCTTTCCCCTAGCACAAAGCAGAGAGTGAATTATAATTCCGGAAGGATCTGTTAAAGAAAACAATATTTTTCAGATGTTTTGTGTGTATGGTTTGTAGTCGGCTGAATGTGAATGTTTTACCAGCTAGTGTTAAAATGTTAATGACCTTGTGTTTGTGTATGCCAGTGATGTGCAAAGGCTTGGTGTGAGCCCACCCAATCCCATGCAAAACTGTGACTGACTCCCCCCCTTTCCCCTAGCCCAATCAGTTGCAGCAAGGGCATCCCCAAAATGATAGAGCGCAATGCAGAATACCACCAGCTATAGAGGAGTACAACAAATCCCAGCAATAGTACATTATACAGTGGTGCAATGCCGAATAGCACTAGCTATAGAGGACTACAAAACCCAGCAATAGTACATTATACAGCGCAATGCAGAATACCCCCAGCTATAATGTACTATTGCTGGGATTTGTTGTATGCCTCTATAGCTGGTGGTATTCTGCATTGTGCTGTATAATGTATTGCTGGGTTTTGTAGTCCTCTACAGCCGGTGCCATTCTGCATTCATTGCTGTATAATTTTACACTTTTTATTTCACTATATTGCACACCACACTTTTGTTTTCTTTTTTACTTCCACCGTTCCAAGCTTGCTCCTGTGATGGAGTACACTGAATACAAACTAGTAGTCCCATCACTGGAGCCATTTTTTTAAATGTATTTTATTTTGTATCCGATTAACCGATTAATCGAACTTAATAATCGGCTAACTAATCGATTTTGAAAATAATTGTTAGCTGCAGCTCTACACTAAACTGATGAGGAGTAAAAGCATTTAAAGCATCGCCTATGGCCAATTTTTGGTGTGGTCAATTTTTGGCAATTTTGCGGGCACGCGCAGTTTTAAAGCTTGACATGTTTGGTGTCTATTTACCCGACAAGGCCCTGTCATTTATATTTTACCAAAAATATAAGGTAATAATAAATGCTTTATAACATAATGTAGGGAAAACCCCCCAGTGGTCATTATATAACACCAAAAGAAAGCTCCATCTGTCCCCCAAAAAATGTTAACATAAATTGCAAGGCTATAGTCCGGTCATGTTGACTGATGACATTTTTGACTGACAGGTAAACCAGCCTAAAATTTCTCAAGCCTTGTGTATTTGTATAATAACAATATGCTACTGGTGTAAATGTTACTAGGGAGAAAAAATGCACAATTATGTTTTTATTTTTTACTCCATTTGCTTCCTCAATATCTCAGAAAAAATAGAGACAGACGTTTCTTTTATTACAGAAAGCATCAGAAAAAATGTCTATTTCAGGTGATGACAAAACATAAAAAGGTTATTAATGGTTAAACGGATGCAGCACTAAAAAGCCAAATGTGCTCAGGTAGTTAAGTGATTAAAAGACAAAAGATTTCCTTTCAGACTGACTTTTCCTCTATTAGTGGATGTGGAACACACAGGATGAAACACGCAGGGAAGCCCTGTAAATCCTGGGAGAGGCGGACACCATGACACCTGGGAAATGCTGAGTTTACATTCAGATCTGAACAAGACACCGGGTCATGTGACATCCGAGACAAGGGCAAAATATCCCCGTCTGCAGCTTATTGACTCAGTTTCTTATAGTGATACATATAGCAGAGAGTGAATTATAATTCCGGAAGGATCTGTTAAAGAAAACAATATTTTTCAGATGTTTTGTGTGTATGGTTTGTAGTCGGCTGAATGTGAATGTTTTACCAGCTAGTGTTAAAATGTTAATGACCTTGTGTTTGTGTATGCCAGTGATGTGCAAAGGCTTGGTGTGAGCCCACCCAATCCCATGCAAAACTGTGACTGACTCCCCCCCTTTCCCCTAGCAC